ATATATATATATATATATATATATGGACTTAACATTTCTGCAGCTGCCGCCTGCCGTAGATAGTGTTATCTACAGCTGACACAAAAAGTGGGCCCCACGACTTTTTAAAAAAAAAAGAAAAAAAACTCAGGATCCGGTGCCGTATCCTAGGACCCGGACGCGGATCCTTGCTTGCTGTAGGTACAGCAGCTGCAGAAATCATTTTGCCTATATATATATATATATATATATATATATATATATATATATATATAATTGGTGCTTCTTTTGTCTTTGCTTTGGGCCCTCCAAAATTAGTTATTTGTTTTTAAATATTAACTTGCACAGTTTGTGACTTACATTCTACTTTAACCATGGCCTTGTTCTGGAGGCATTGGTACGTTGCATCTTGAAAATGCTATGAGTATTCGGTGGCATTGCAACTTGAAAATAACATGTTATAACAGGTTAGATAAGGTTTATTGATTATTATATTTTAACCCAAATCTTTTGTAATATTGTATTTTTCCAACTCTTACTACAAGTGATTTGTCCTTTCTTATTAGGGGTGTTCGCGGTCTGGATTGGATCGGTTTTGAAGCAAAAAACCATCTGATCAAATTCCTTCGGTTTGGTCATTACACCATCCGATCGGTTTGAAATTTTTTTCAAATCCGATCCAATTTTTTTCGGTTTGGATTGGATCGGTTTTCGGTTTTATGAAAAGCCAAAAAAACAAAACTTATAAGAATTATTTTTTAAAAAAATGAGGATGTTTCAAACCCCTCCCCTATCTTTTCTCATAAACCCCTCCCCTCTTAATCTATTTTCCATCAACAGTGCATCAGAACAATTTTTTGTTCTACAGCTGTTATGTTTGTGTCCTTAAGTCTATATCTGATGGCTCAACTTGTGCCCCTCTTGGTGTGGTAAGAATCGAAGGAATTGGGTTTTCAACCCATAATATTTTCGCACCATTTTTACATTGTATTTTTAGATAATAAAACAAGAAAAATAAACATTTCAATACACCATCTCTTCAGATAAATGATTCTATAGATTTTTTTAGAGAAAAAAATGTTATGTCACAGCCACACAGAATAACAGGCGATTGTTTGAAACCAACGAAAAATGAAGGAAGATATTATTGCTTCATCACATAAATAATGGGAAGAAATTTAGAAATCTGCTTTGCTATACCTTTATCATGCCCTTGATGCAAATAAAATCAAGTGTTACAGTACCTTTGTTATATGTTTATTTGGTTGTTTAACGGAAGAGACAAACGTTGATTTTTGAGAAGAAAGAGATATGCTACGCAGTGCCAGAGCATGAGTGACTGAGAAGAGAGAGAGCAAGACAACTGCAAGACCCTTACCCACAGATGCCACTGCCAGAGCGTAAGTTTGGATGGATTAGGTTTAGAATTTTTTTGCGTTTCACTTCAAAGCTGATGGGCAAATGGGTGGATTTATAACTTTGGGCTATTATTTGGGATAGGCCCAATTTGGTAGAAAATAATTTTGGATCGGTTTGGATTGGATCGGTTTTCAACATCCAAACCGAAAACCGATCCAATCCAGTAAATTTTTTCGGTTTTTTTCGGTTTTCGATTTTTCGGTTTTCGGTTATTTCGGTTTTCGGTTTTTTAGTTCGGTTTCTGCGGTTTGAATCGGTTTGGATCGGTTTATGAACACCCATATTTCTTATCGTTTGGCAAGTGGTGGGCTTAGAGGGACTTTTCACTTTTCAAAATCAATTATTGATATTAGTTTTAGGGCAAATTACATAGAATCACCTTATACTTGTGGTCTTTTTCAAAAGACCACCCTATATTTTCAAACAAAACAATCAACCCCCCTGGCACTTTGAAATAATAACAATTACATATATTTTATAATTTTAAGACAAAAATATCTTCTTTTCATCCAACATTACCATGTTAACCACTACTACCATTGTGGGCTACCGTCACCTCTCCTTGCTGGTGGTCACTTTCATCGTAAGAGATTGTGTTTCGTTTTTCGATTTTCATCCAACTTTTTATCGTTCATGTTCTTCTTTGTCCATTTCGTCTCTCGTTCATTCATTTGTTCATCTTTTGATTTTTGGGATCCAAATCTTGATAGGAATGGAACGAGGGAGCCCAAAATCCTTTGCAAATGGTACATCCACCAATGGACCAAATGACAAATCACAATAAGTAGGCCGACACCATATCTTAACCCAAAATTTTAAGGCTGTAGGTTTATGGGTCTTTTGCACTTATATGATTATCACTTGGTCTATGTCTAGTCTATGTGATACTTACATCTTCCCTCAAGTGTGAGGCCCAATATCATTCTTACCCTAAGGGCAACTTCTGCGGAAGCCATTTTTTTCACTCTTTCAAGAATTAGGGTTACACTAGCCTTCTGCAGAGGCCTTCCAAACACTTAGCCGAGATCGTTGGCTCTGATGCCACTGATAGGAATGGAACGAGGGAGCCCAAAACCCTTTTGCAAAGGGTACATCCACCAATGGGCCAAATGACAAACCACAATAAGTGGGCCGACACCACATTTCAACCCAAAACCTCAAGGCTGTAGGTTTATGGGTCTTTTGCACTTATATAATCGTCACTTGGTCTATGTCTAGTCTACGTGGTAGTTCTTTACAACTCATACTTGATCATTTCCAACAAATCCAATACCTAAATCGTTTTTTTTTTTAAATGGGAGATCGTTCTCCGCACCACTCAGCTCACACATTTGCTCTGTTTTCCCCCTCAAAATATGGTTCAGATCCTCATCGAGGTATTTCATTTATGAAAAATATGGTCTACTCCCAAACGATTCTATTCAAAGAAAATTCAACTCCAAAATTGTTGTTTTGTGACTTTTACTCAACATTGTTTCTCCTTGACAATCAATCTAACCAAATTTTTGTTTTACGCATGTTTCATTAGATGTCTTATGATTTCAAGAACTATTATTTTGTCTCGAAGCATGTTCTCTGCTACTCCAAGATTTCTACCTAAATCACGTTAATCCACTTAGGCACTAGGTTTATAGCTTTATATCTTCGAGCTATACTAATACTACAGTGTTAGAGTTAGACGACTGTGTCCATAGATAATGGCTGGTGTCATGTAGGGGTCGAGATGAAGGGTATTTTTGATTGAAAATTATGAAATATGTTTAATTGTTATTATTTCATAATGGGAGGAGGTTAATTGTTTTGTTTGAAAGTGTGGGGTGGTCTTTTGAATAAGACTCTAAATAGAAGGTGATTTTATATAATTTGCCCTTATTTTTATAATATTTAAGAAGCCATACCAACATCATGTTATTACAAAAATTATTTGTTATGTTTTTTTTTCTAATTTTGTTAAAAGGTGATATTATAGAAATTAATTAAAAATATAAAAAAATCATGGAAAGATATAAAAAGTGCATTACTTGACAATTGCTGACTATTGCTAAGGACATAGCTTCACATCAAGGATGGATTAATGTTTGGAAGATTCGCTTTCTCTTTTAATTGCTCGAATTCAGCCTCCCTCATTTTGTATAATACCTGTCAAATAATACTTCAACATAGCATAATCCCACATTTTCATCCCGTGTGCGGTGTAAAACGGTGTAGGATCATCTTTTTTAAACTATGTAGGCAATTAGAGTAGGTAGTAAAACTCACAATACTGTGAAATTATATAAGTCATATTTAAATGTTTAAACATTTATAATAGTTGAAATTAAATCGATAAAAGGAAACTATGTCCCATTCACGCCCATTTCTTTGTCGACAAAATCCAACCGTATCTTGTTGAAGTTACGGCCACTACATGATGTCTTTCCCCAGTTCTTCCATTTGGCTTAAAGTTATCGGTAAGAGGGAAATAAATAAATAAACAATATATATATATATATATATATATATATATATATATATATATATATATATTAAACGTGCACTTTGACTTAACGCTCACCATGAAATGTCTAATCTTACACGCTTATTTTTATTTTTATTTTATACAATAATAATAAGAATTGAACACATAAATTAAAATAAATTATTCAAATTTTTCATCATTATAAATTAAAGAAAAATTATTTATCATTTTATATGACATAAAATTATATCATTTTAAGAGAGATAAATATAGAATAAAATTTTTTATTTAAAATTTAAATTAAAAAAAAATCACCCACTTTCTCTCTGATGATTTTTATTTTTGTGTCTATCTATCTCTTAAAATGACATAATTTGTGTCATTTAAAATGATAAACATCATACTCATGTATCAATCTTAATGGTTTATCTTACACGTTTATTTCTATTAATACCACGATTATATAAAGACAATTTATCTATCCACAAGAGTTTCCTTACTAAAGAAACATGGTGCAGGAAGCGCACAAAAACACGAACGCCACATTTTTGGGAAAATAATACTGAAATCTCGTAGTTTTGAATTTTTTTTTTTTATCGAAATGTCACCTTTAAGTTCCACCCACTGCATTAGCATATTGCTTTTTTCATCACATGACCGAGATAGACAGTCTCGTTGACTAAGCCTGCATAATTGGCGACAATCATGTATATATACAAACAGAGCCAACAGCGGAAAAATTTATTATGGTTCTATCTCATCATTTATTCAGTGATCTTTCTTTATAAATAATTTTTTTTTATTTTTATTGCTCTCTTTTTGATTTTTTTTTTCTCAATCTCTAGTTTTTTTCTATTTTGAGAGGAGATCATCGTACTCTCGTCCTAGCAAAAACCCTCTGCCAACACGACGGCTTAATAGTGGCATGTGGCAAAAAAGCAACCCCCCTCGTGGGTTAGGAAGATTTAAACATAACATTTTGAAAAAAAAAAAAATTAAATTGTGACAATCCCATAATTTTTATCCAAAACGTGGCATCTTGATTTTTGTGGAAGTATACACAAAATACTTGAATAAACTTCACAAAAAGGTTAACGAGAACAAACTAACAGCGGAGTTTATGTCAATGGTACATAGTGTGGCTCTAGGGATAAACCTCAACGAGAGACTTCAAACCTAGGACTGGAGTTATCTTGTAGTCACTGAAACCAGCAGAGAAAAAGAGCTTGGCCCATTCTTTCTCATTCCTCTCTTTTCCAGTGACCAACGCCATCATCTCCATATCATACAAAAACTTCGTTTCAGCTAATTCATTATCACCCTTCTCATTCCCTATCACCACGTCTATGATTATCATCTTCCCTTCTTTGCCTTTTCTAGCGATTGCCTCCTTGCATTTCTTCAGTATTTTCAGGCATTCCTCATCGTTCCAGTTATGCAATATCCACTGCACGTCATTCCAATTTATATACAATGAAATTATAAGTATTATTTTGTATATTATGAAAACCATCAATTCATTTTTATATATTTTTTTTTAATTGTAAAATTCCCCAATAAATAAAATATGCGTAGATTTACATGTCAAATTATCAAGCAACTTAGACCCTAATTATGAAAACTAGTTCAATGTTAAGAATGATCCATCTGAGCTAAAAGTGTGGTAAATAAGAAGATAACAAACTATGGATTGACAATGTTTAATTTACCTTCAATATAATGGAATCGGCAGGGGGAATTGCCTCAAACATGTCACCTCCAACATATTTTAGATTCCCACATCCTTGCAAGCCATCAACAACACGTGGGAGATCAAATACAATACACTCCAATTGTGGGAATGACTTGGCAATGGCCTTTGCCATAGTCCCTGTGCCTCCCCCAACATCAACTAATGACTCCAATCCCATGAACACCCCTTTGCACTTCTCAATCACCACATTGGAAAGCAATCGAGCATCACTAGCCATGGCATCGTTGAAAAAGTGATTAAGTTTGGGTTCATGGCCATGGCCAGCATAATCCCAAAATGCCATCCCATTTTCCTTGTAAAATGGAGTAGGATCATCATTTTTGAACCATGTAGAAAATTGATACCATGGCTTTACCAATGTTGGGTCAAGTATGAAATGCAAGAAAGATGTCATGCTCAAGGGTTGATCATTAAGTAGTAATCTAGATGCATCGGTTAGCCCATACCTCACTTCTAGCTCATTTTCAGTAACATTATGTTGAAAGAAGAAACCAGAATGGGTCAAAATTCGCATCAAGCGATGCATGCTTCCAGTTTTGGAGGGGTGGATTGGTAGTGAAGCAATGAGTTGTGAGAGTGGCATGGGTTGGCCATACTTGTGTATGACATCTGGTATGCATAACTCAATTGCGCATTTAAGGGACATGGAGTTTATGAAGCCAAAAATGTGATTGAATATATGGGTTTGAGCTTGAAGTAGTTTAGCAGCATGCTCCTCTATGGGGGATTCCATGGCTTTGATACCTGAACTACTTAGCTAGATTTGTGGTATGAACCTCACAATACTTGGGTCCATTTATAAGGGGAAACAGGTGTTCTGCCAATAAACATGAATGATTCGTTTACAAATATTTTTACAAATTACACTAAGTATGACCGGTCATACATTCTTGATTAAAGTATGACCGGTCATACTTAGTAGTTTGTAAGAATTTGTAAACAAAAAATTTGTAAATATAACCTTTCCTATATTGAAATATGGACATAACTTCAATTATTGCAGATAAAAGCGACAATATAATATGCAAAACCGACACATTACTTGGGTCCATACAATGTGGTATTAACCTCGCATTGTATGGGTCCATTTATAAAGGAAACAGGTATTCTTCCAATATCCCTGGACAAGGAAGGACATTACTTAAAATTACTGCAGATAAGCAGTGACACAATAATATGCCAATAGATATTTTGTTAAAAGTTGCTGGAAACTGTGTGATATTCTTCCAATCACATGCTTATTAATATTCAAAATTTGAACAATGATTTGCAACTGAAAAAAAAAAGTTACAAGACATAATTCTACATATGTGAAATTGTATATAGCATATACAACTAATAATATGATATATCACTACAAGAAAAGTGGGAAATGCCGTCGGATATATACAGGCAGTTATCAGGAAACCGTCTCGAACAACACTTTTCAGGCGGTTCTCCGGGCGGAAAAAATGGCCGACTTCCTTTGGAAGGACACCCTGTCGGATCTTGTGGCGTTTAATCATAACCGCCTCAGTTTGAAGTTTTCAGAGGCGGATAGTGCTGCGTTTCTTCTTGACCGTCTTTGGAAATGCATAAACCCAGGCGGTTACCGTGTCGGCTTTGGGAAGTCGTCGAACATTTTTATAATACAAAGGCGGTTGGAGTGAAACCGCCCATGAATGAAGTTTGGAGGCGGTTTTTTTGAAAATAAAGGCGGTTTTGTTTATAAAATATGTAATTAATGAAAAAAGTAGCTAGACGTGACGTCTGATTTGATTTATTTCTTTTTACTGATAATTTTTATTTATAATTACAAAAATATCATTTTTTTATATATATAAATTTGTTGGAGAAAAAAACACTCCTTGAAGGCCAAACCAAAGAAGATTATGAATTAAATAATAATTGGTGGTGGGACTATATATATTACTTATTAAAGTGAAAAACCTGAAAATCCAACACAAGCCACACATTTACGCAGAAGGTTCAATTATACTGTATGAACCATTATTATTTTCTATTTTTAAATTATTTGCGGGAACAAAATATTTCTTGGTATTGTATATATAAGTTATATTTGATATATTAAAAATATATTATTATTAACGTAAATATTACAAAATTATTACCATTTTTTTAAAAAAAAAGTAAAGTAGTGAAGAAGTTCCACTACAAAAAGTTATAATTTTGCAAGTAAAATATTCTCCATGTATATATATGCGGACGTAAGAAAGGAAACAACCCAAAAGCCAATATCTTTTTGGTACAAAATATAGTATGTGAAATAAGAGGTGCTCATTGATAGCATGGGCTTAATTACTGTACTTCTTCCAAAGTTGAAATGCCAATTGCTAGCTTGGAATTATTGTACTTATTCCAAATTTTATGTCACGAATGTGCTTAGATCGTTGCTTGTTACTGCAGGTATCATTTTGCATCAATATTTTTGCATTTGAAACAATAAAGATCTCCATACAAGTATCAAGCATGGACTCCAACATTAAGTCGAAACTATAAAGTGAGACTTCCACAATTAATTAGGATCGAAGTGTTATAATTGCATGAAGTGCAATTCTGTGTTTTGAATAAGAATAACTCAAAAAGTTAATGTTTTAACGAGAGGTGAAAAAGTGTTTAACAATTGAGAATGTAATTAGTGCACATGCACTAAAATGAGGGAGTGCAGCGGTAATAATAAGTTATAAGGGGCTGCATCAGAAAATTAAAATTAATCAGACTAAGTTAGGTAAGGTTGGGTTATATTAGGTTGAAAAAAAATAAAACCATGTTATGAATTTACAAGTGAAGGCTGGAGAAGTGGTATGCTCTGATGAAGGCTGAAAGGCATATGAAATGCTAACGACCAATATAGAAGTGAAGACTTGTATACGTATCATAATGCAATGCACCCTACTGATATCATCACAACTTCAAAATATAATATAATACAATATTTATAAGTTATCATGTATTGCTTACAATATTATGCAATGCACCCTATTAATTCATAACCTCGACTAGAAAAGTTAAGAACTTTTGACGTGCACATCAATACCTTGAAACCCTTGAATTGGCCGACCTTGAAAAAAAAAACAATATCAGTTAAGAAAGACACATGAATGGGGTAAGGGCAAACAGAAAAGGACAGAATGTACCTTAGAACCGTAAGCCTACAAAATACCGTACTCCACAAGATTTTTACATCTTATATAAGCTAATCTCGTGTACTATTCCTTGTACAACTACCAATGCCACCAATATTTTCAACAGATTGTCATGGAGTTTCAATAATTTGTCCTTGTTATTGCAGTTAGGGCAAGTTGGTTCATCAAGCCACTCAAAGAAATGACATTTGTCACTTCTTTTGTAGTTAGGGCATCCATAGAACATCCTTCGTGGATTCTTGTTTGTTAGAGACATACGCAACACAACCGTTTCTCCACAGTCGCACAACTTCTGCTTCGATGACGATAAAGATGAAGATTGCCCGCAAAATGAACTTTCACCGCCACCTATGTGTTTCCTATCTCGACCCATGGTACCTTCGAGTTACTGAAGTAGTGGCAGCTGAAGCAATGAACCCATTATGTAGGACCAAAAACAAATGAGTTGAAGGGGTCTCCCCATCAATGATTCCACACGAATGATGAGTGCCAATGAACAAACAGATGAGAATTGTATAGAGCATACACAACAGACAAGAGCATGATCAGAAAAGGGAAAAAGAGGAAAAAAAAAAATAAGAAAAAAGTGAAATAAATACCAGGGGTTACGAAATGGAAGGCATGGTCAAATTTATACTAGAATAACATCTATTAACCCATACTCTATTACAGCTATTGAGCATCAATCCAAAGTCAAGATTTGGACCAGAGCCAATTGTGCTACAAACTTAATGGCAGATAACATCTATTTACCCATACTCTATTACAGCTATTGCTACAGGGATAAAGTTAGAATCAAATCCACACTATAAGTCAATACCATATCCTACCACATCTGATGAAAAACTGTAAATTCAAATCACTACTCATAATTAACCAAAAAATACAAGAAAAACAAAAATGGGCAAAGCCAATGAAGATTATAATGTATCCCCAATATATATTCTCTACAAATAGTATAGAATAAAATAAGCATGAGTACAAAGATGTTGTGAAATCTTGAACAGAACATCGAAAATAATTTAAAATGAAACAAAATTTTGCAAACTTCCATAACAAAAGAAAATACAATGTTTTAACAGCAAACTTGTACAATATCGTCGCACTCAACATATTGCATCCTGTCCTAATATATGTGACATTTCTCTTTAAACAAAATCCATCAGAAAAAATAAATAAAAATAAAACATCCACGAAAAATCTGAACTTTCAAAAGCAATACCCTTTTGTCTTTTTGGGTTATTTTTGTGTGTGCTTTAATGGGAAAATCACTTGAATCTGCGACTAGGCTGCAAGAGTTATCGCAGATTGTATCATCTGCAAAACCCCATAAGCCAAAGGGAACGCAACCCAGATCCGCGAACCGCGTGGCCACCCCACGAACAACGAAATCGTGTTCTGTTAAGGTTGCACCCTTTTCTGAAATATATTGAAAAATATATTAGTCAGGAACAAACACGAATTTGCATTTGAAAAAAATTAACATTTTTGGAAAAATCAAGCGATCGAAACAACTGCACCTTTGATTTGGCGATGGGCTCTGTTTATGTTCGGGTCCTCGAATGCTTGCTAGAAATACAAAAACCCTAACGAAGCTTGAAGACTGGTTGAAACAGAAGTGAGGAGCCGTGTGTGAAACGATCGATAAGAGGAAAGAAAAGGAACTCTAACGTATACTTACCCAACGACTATTTTTTAATGGGCTTTTATTTTCAAAAAATTTGAGGTGTTTAAGTTGTGGGGACTTACTTTATTTGTTTTGTTACTCCAATTTAAATTTGGGTAAGTTATATTTATCTTATTTTTTCTGACTACTTTTTATTATCAAATTTTAACCGTTGATTTTCGTCAATGTAACGGTTATAATTTATTGAGGGTACTCTTTGTAACACAAGCGTTTTCATTAAGTATCACTATCTTTAATCCATGCTTGCTCTTTACTCTAGATAGTGTCATATATAATTGCCCATGAGTGAAGACAGGCCTGGGGAGATAAATTGCAACAAGAGAAAGAGATTGTCCTTGGCTCTTATTGATAGTCATGGCAAATGAAACAATCAGGGGGAATTGTCTTCTTTGGAAATTTATAGGAAATGTGTGACCTTATGGGCTCATCGTCATTCTAGGTTTTTATATTTTATCTCAGAAATGAACCTTCATTTACTACAATGAGATTTATAAAATAATAATAAATAATTATTATTTTTGCAAGAATTTGTGTCGTTAGTCTTTGGAATTTCACAAATTTGTATTTACAAAAATTGAAATCAGATTTAGTAATTTAATTATAAAAGAAGAAGGATAAAATTTCAATAGTAAATCGGAATAGCGACAATAGTAAACTCATGTAGCTGGGGGTAGAACGACATCTGTACTCAATATTTATAATTGCCATATAAGTTATAATTGCCCTTTCTTTCAATATGTTGAACTAGTCTTAATACCGTATAAGTTATAATTGCCCTTTCTTTGATTTTTTTTAGATTCTTATTTTCTCCCATAGCTGTTATTTAGCAGAACACAAATTAAAGTAATTAATGTGTTATTTATTTTTAGCATTACTAACTGAACTCTTCTTTGTATACAT